TAAATAAATAAAATAAAATAAAACTTAGTCGGGTGTGGTGGTATGGTGGTGCAGGCCTGTAGTCCCAGCTACTTGGAAGGCTGAGGCAGGATAATCACTTGAACTTGGGAGGAGGAGGTTGCAGTGAGCCGAGATCACATCATTGCACTCCAGCCTAGGTGACAAATGAGACTCCATCTCAAAAAATTAAATAAAAAAAAGATAGTGTATTTATCTATGGAATTAAAAACTGCTTTTAACAAGGTTTATGAGACAAATCCAGATCAACATAGTATCTTTCTTATGAAAAAATGAAGTTAGTTTTAAATATTGATGTCACAGTTAATCCTAGAATCATTATAACTTAATTGACATACTTCATGGATTTAAGTTCAGGGTGTCAATTTTTTTTTTTTTTTTGAGATGGAGTCTTGCTCTCTTGCCCAGGCTGGAGTGCAGTGGCACAATCTCGGCTCACTGCAACCTCCACCTCCCAGGTTCAAGCGATTCTTGTACCTCAGCCTCCCAGGTAGTTGGGTTTACAGGTACGTGCCAACACACCCAACTAATTTTTGTATTTTTAGTAGAGATAGAGTTTCATTTTGTTAGCCAGGCTGGTCTCAAACTCCGACCTCAGGTGACCCACAGGCTTTGGCCTCCCAGAAGTGCTGGGATTACAGACAAGAGCCACTGCACCCGGCCAATGTTTATATCATTTGCAAATTTAGGTTAATACAAAAATTTAGTATTCTCTTTGTTTAATTACATTAGGCGCTCACACTTGATATGAAGCTTTGTGTACTATAAAAAAGTAGGCCAGGTACTGTGGCTCACCCCTGTAATCTCACTACTTTGGGAGGTTGAGCCAGGCTGATCACTTGAGGTCAGAAGTTCAAGACCAGTCTGGCCAATATGATGAAACCCCATCTCTACTAAAAATACAAAAATTAGCCGGGCGTGGTGATGCACACCTATAGTCCCAGTTACTCAGGAGGCTAAGGCAGGAGAATAGCTTGAACCCGGGAGGCAGAGGTTGCAGTCAGCCGAGATTGCGCCACTATACCCCAGCCTGAGTGACAGAACAAGAGTCCGTCTAAAAAAAAGAAAGTAGGCCGGGCACGGTGGCTCAAGCCTGTAATCCCAGCACTTTGGGAGGCCGAGACGGGCGGATCACAAGGTCAGGAGATCGAGACCATCCTGGCTAACACGGTGAAACCCCGTCTCTACTAAAAAAAAATACAAAAAACTAGCCGGGCGAGGTGGCGGGCGCCTGTAGTCCCAGCTACTCGGGAGGTTGAGGCAGGAGAATGGCGTAAACCCGGGAGGCGGAGCTTGCAGTGAGCTGAGATCCGGCCACTGCACTCCAGCCTGGGCGATAGAGCGAGACTCCGTCTCAAAAAACAAAAAACAAAACAAAAAAAAAGTAGCAGAAAAATCATACAAATGAAGAGTAAGGTTCCACAATGAACCTAAAACCCTCTAGGGGATTCACTTGGTAGCTTTTCAGTTTCATAGTGTACTCTATACTAATAATGCATATTTTTTCAGGAAAACAGATTTGAATGTTCTTATCATCTCAAACTGCTAAGCATATTGTACAAATACATTTTTTTTTTTTGGTTTTGTTTTGAGACGGAGTCTTACTCTGTCACCCAGCCTGGAGTGCAGTGGTGTAATCTCGGCTCACTGCAACCTCCACCTCCCAGGTTCAAGCTATTATTCTGCCTCAGCCTCCCGTGTAGATGGGATTACAGGCATGCATCACTACACCTGGCTAATTTTTGTGTTTTTTTTAGTAGAGATGGGGTTTCACCATGTTGGCCAGGCTGGTCTCGAACTCCTGGCCTCAAGTGATCTGCCCACCTTAGCCTCCAAAGGGCTGGGATTACAGACGTGAGCCACTACACCCGGCCCATATGTATTGTCTGTTTAGTTAACAATTAGATGCTGGAAGAAATAAAAATCCACTACTTTTACTAAAATATTTGCATGGCATGGAAGAACTACACACAAAAATCTTTAGCACATTCAAGAAGTATTCACAAAATAAAGTATATACAATTTAAAATTTAGCTGCTCAAAAAGATGTCATCATATAGACAGTAGGGCAAAGTACCCAAATAAAAAACTAAGTTCTATGATTACAGTGAATTTGACATCAACCAGTAAATGTATTTATAATCGTAACACAGTCCTTACTAACAATGTAATCAAGGATTTTTTTTTTCTTTTTGAGACAGAGTTTTGCTTGTTACCCAGGCTGCAGTGCAATGACGCGATCTTGGCTCACCGCAACCCCTACCTCACCGGTTCAAGCGATTCTCCTGCCTCAGCCTTCCGAGTAGCACCGCGCCTGGCTAATTTTTCTATTTTTAATAGAGACAGGGTTTCTCCATGTTGGTCAGGCTGGTCTCCAACTCCTGACTTCAGGTGATCTGCCCACCTTGGCCTCCCAAAGTGCTGAGATTACAGGCCTGAGCCACTGTGCCTGACCAAGGATTTCTAATTGTATTCTGATAGTAAAAGTTGTTAAGTCATCAAGAATTTAACTAAGAAACTGTTCTAGAAATTCAAATTTGACATCTCAAGTAAGAGAAAAGGAAATGTATATACACAAAAGAAGTGTTACTTATGGGAACGTAATTAAAAGTTAGCTACTTTCCTAGATATGATAGAAAAAAAAGAATGAATTGACTATATGATCTTTTGGAAATAAAAACCTAAGTTTACCTTTGGATATACATAGGATAATTCAAACAAAAAGTGGAACCTAACTTCCTTATCACACAGAACTGTCCTTTTCCCCTCTTCTTAGAACACTTACTTTTATAAATCATTGGTTTGCCAGGCTCATTAATTTTTTAGTAGTATTTATGTATATATAAGTACCTTTTCAAAATTCTGAAAACAGTATTAAGGAAAAACAGGAACTGTTTCACTTAGGTCTTACCTAGTACAGTGAATCAACTTCACAGTGCAATGAATACTAGTAAGATATCAACATGAATACAAAAGCAAGACTACAAACTGATTATTTTCTTTTGGAGCTGTTTTATGATCAATTCCAAACATACAATACAGGGAAGGTGAAATGAGTAAGAAAAAAATCATATTTAATTCCCCGTTAACACTAAGCCATATTATTCAAAATGTGTTTCAAAATACTCAGCCAGATCACCAAATCTCAGTCACTACCTTAGTATAAATATTCACTAGGAAAATAGTCAAGCAACAGAAATCCATTGTGAGACACCATCTAGAGAGAACAGCTACACTGCTATATATAATTTATTAACTTAGTAGTTTAGTCTCTCAATATTTAGCAAGTTTGTTTAAAAATTACCATTACCATTGGTTTATAGTGTCATTAATATAAATCCATAATTTCAAAGTCAACATTCCTTTCACTGTGAACGTAAGACTTCTTAAAAGCTGGTTGTGGGTTGGGGAACAGTAATGACTGTGGCTGGTGGGAACTGTTAAAAGCCAAAAAGACTGGCAAGCTTGGAAAGGCATACATGATATATACACACACTCTCAGTATACTACTGTTCCCCATATTTTTGCTGTACATTCTTGTCTCAAAAGATGGTATAAATTATTCCCTTAAATTTGAAAAAACAATTAAGATGAATACCTTTTCATCTTCATTTCAAAATTACCCTTTTAAATAAAAAAGAAGTTCCTCATGTTTGTTAAATCTGTTCAAAAGTTGGATTTAAATACTTTCTTCACAACATGTACAATGTTTTCACCCTTAGTGCCTCATTACAATCAGTTTGGCAATACGACCTCCAGTGCTTTATCAAAAATGGCATTCAATAGATTATAAGATTGTTAAATCTGCATTTGAATTATTCTTATCACAATGAATTATAACAAAGTCCAAAAACTGTATGACTATTCATCAATACCCTTGGAACCTATGAATTATTGCAAATAATCTCACACGTGCATGTAATTCAAACATAAACTTCATGGGAGAGGGGGTGTAAAATAAATACTACAGTATTTCTTCAATTCTATTTAATGCTGCCTAGCTGGTTAAATGAAAGATTAATATTACTAACAGGAAGAGTCAAACTATTTTAAGGACTGTTTTCTAAGTAGAATAATTTTTGCAAAAGAAAGATAAGCAAGAGCCTATGCAAATACATTTTCTTGTAGTGTAATGTAATTGCTAATATGAGGTATAATCTGTAAGCAATTAATACAAATATAAATAGGTATAAGCCACCACTAACTCAGTCTGGTGAAAAGCTTCTCAGTTAAAGTATTTTGAGGATAAGGTTAAGGGAAATGAGAAGGGGTGGACAGGGCAGGTTTCCAGTGAGAACATAATTTATGTGCCTTATCATTATGATCATCCTGTATGTACCAGTCCATTGTTGCAGAAAGGTAAATCCTTTCCAAGTATGTTATACTTTATGTTACACAGTAAAATTATTTAAGTATTACTAATGCTTCATCTGCATTTGTATTTAGATATACACATAATTATATATGCGTATCAAAAACTAGAAACAGAATTTTAAAACACTTTTATCTCAATTGGGGAAAGTTAACAGGTAAGACAAAACTATGTACTATAGAATTTTTTAGGATATCTAAACTCAAGGTAAAACCAATGGAAAACATTTCTACCTCTTCAGTAAATGGCTTGTGTGAAACCTCAAGCTCTCAATCATTTTTTTTACAGATGGGTTTGTTTGATGAGGATTGTGATCCAATGATTGTTTAGCAGCAATTTTACCAAACTGTAAATTCTTTTATTAACAGGCATTATAAACAGATAATACTAATCTTATTTAAAAACCATGAGTGCCACACTGGTGAATATACAGCTTATGAATAACTTAAAAAGTATTTCCCATTTTAAAAGGCAAACCCAGCATACAAAAACCTATACTAAACAAAGAAGCTATAATATGGATACATGATTGATGTGTCTAAAATGATATATACAGTACATAATTAACGTTAATTATATGATCAGTACATTTTTCCATATGATTCCCTTCATGCTTCACTTTCCCCAGAAACTGAATTCTGTACTTCCTCTTCTAAAATTGGTACAATCAGGTTATCCTTGGACATCAAATTGTATTTCATCACAAATTTAGTAAACCGATGACACAAAAATGTTTCATTCTGTAGAGAGGAAGACAAAAATATTATTTTAATTCACTATCCGAAACCAAAAGACTAGAAATAACATCAATATATATTATGGTCATTCTGATAAGAATGTATCAAGATTAATTAGTGAAATATACTTACTTCATATTCATCAAATATCTGCCGATGATGAAAATAAGCATGTGAAAATATTCTGTAAATCCTACGGCATACTGATCCTAGTTTCGCTACAGATGATTCCTTTATGCTAACTCTAGAAGTAGAAAAGAAACCATAGATTCTCAGAACTGGATGGAATCTTAGGAACAATATAGTCCAATTTTCTCAGTTTACAAGTGTAGAAACTGACACGTAGGGAAAATAAGTGACTACTCCGAGGTCACACTGCGAGTAAATGCCTGGAGCCCCTACTCCTCACTTCTGGGCCAGTGTTCTCTCTACCTAATCACAGGGCCTAAGTTAAATTCAGCATTATAGTTTTGAAACTTTGTAAAAGTTTAACACAGTTAGAATAAGTCCCTGACATTTCAAAATTTACTAAAACATCTATTTCCAACATTAATACATTGTCCACTAGAGGCGATTAAAACTCCTGAAAGGAATTATTGTTTTCTTTTACAGAACTAGGTTATTCTTTCTTTCTTTTTTTTTTTTTTTTTAAAAGAAATTAAGGTCGGGTGTGGTGGCTCACGTCTGTAATCCCAGCATTTTGACAGGCTGAGGCAGGTGGATCACCTGAGGTCAGGAGTTCAAGACCAGCCTGGCCAACATGGTGAAACTCCATCTCTACTAAAAAATACAAAAATTAGCAAGGCATGGTGGCAGGCACCTGTAATCCCAGCTACCCGTGAGGCTGAGGCAGAAGAATCGCTTGAACCCGGGAGGCAGAGGTTGCAGTGAGCTGAGATTGCGTCACTGCACTCCAGCCTGGGTGAGCAAGACTTCATATATAAAAAAAAGAGAGAGAGAAAAATTAAAATTGTTTATTTAAAATTGAAATTGTCTGCATATTTCTGATATCCTTTTTTAAAATATGTATACACAGAATATTAAGGCCAAAAACCAGTATTTTTCTTAACATACTTTATACGAGCTCTTTGAAGCTAATCATATTTGGGGGGAAAAATCTCCAAATCTATCCATCTGGTAACAAATACCTTAATAAAATAAAAGGCATTCACAAACTTCACCGATAATGTATTACGTAATATATTTAAGATCCGACTTCTCAGATCTTAAAAATCAATGAGCAAGGATAAGGAATTTTTCAAAAACAAATAGTTCAACTTAGGAAAGTCTGCTCTCTTTTTTTCTTTGAGACAGAGTTTCGCTCTTGTTGCTCAGGCTGGAGTGCAATGGCGCGATCTTGGCTCATCACAACCTCTACCTCCTGGGTTCAAGCGATTCTCCTGCGTCAGCCTCCCAAATAGCTGGGATTATAGGCACTCGTCACCATGCCCGGCTCATTTCGTATTTTTAGTAGAGAAGGGGTTTCTACATGTTGGTCAGGCTGGTCTCAAACTCCCGATCTCAGGTGATCTGCCCACCTCAGCTTCCCAAAGCGCTGGGATTACACGTGTGAGCCTGCGCCCGGCCGGAAAGTCTGCTCTTTAGGCATACTACATAAAGGGAGGCCGAGTCTAACTATCATAGAGATTCAAGTGAGCAAGTATATACATATCCCAACGCTAAAGTATGAGAGGGAGAGCTCTGCAGAATGACACACATGAACAGGTGCTAGCCTTAGACTGAACTGGCCTTGAGCTTTGACAGCCAAGTCCTGCTGTTTAACTACAGTCCTAATTTCAAAACTTGAATAAACAAGCCAAAATACAATAGCTAAACAAAAAATACAAAAATGCATTAACAAGCAACCTAATGTTACTTTTAAAATACTAATCTTATAAATTAAATCTAAAATGTTTAACATTATGTTTAAAAGTTTCCATTACCTGCTGGGAAAATATTTATTGCTATTCAGAAGACATGCAGCACCATCAAGTGTGTGTCTAGTATAGTCTATAGCAGGACACTACAAAAGAAAGAATATAGAAATGCATCAACAAAGAGCTCTCTCTCTTAGGTTAGATATATTCATTATATGGGTATACCTTATTCCAAAGACATGAGCATGTTATAAGAAAAAAGTTCCTTACAATTTCCGAATGCTTGTAAAATATGTCATATTAATAAGTAAGGTTTATTATCCCCTTGAACCATATCACAATTCTAGATGATACATAAACCAGTCTCCCATTTTTATTCCCAACATCATACCTACAAGAAAACAACAATTACAGATAAGAAGAATCCTGATTTATTTCTGGTCTCTCCAGGGATGCCTTCTTATATCCTAAACAATATCCCTTACTATGTCCTTGGTACTCTATTATCAATCTAGCAGCCCTCTAAAGAACTTTCTCCCAAATCACCTTTGAATTTTAACATGAAATATCAAAGTTTCCTTATAGTTTAACAAATCTGACTTAATTCTGTTCCATTTATCAGAAACACTGAAAAAAAGAAACAATGAAACACTGTCTCACGGCAACTCAGTAAATTTATTAAAGGAAAAACAAAACTGCAAAGTAATTGTCCTCCTCCAGTCCTCCTGAGGGCTGACAGGGAGCAGCATCAAGGGGAAAGCAGTCTAGAAACAAACCAGGGAGTCAACCAGAAGGAAAAAACAACTAAAGGAAGGAGTAACAATGAGTCTAGCTCAATGACTCTACCCAGTAATTAGATTATTTTTCAAGTTTCAGACTGAAACTGTCACTTAGAAATACAGTTTAATAACTACTAAATATGGCTTAGTGCCATGGCACTAAAAAATTATCTAACAAAAAAGTATTTTTCTAACAATATATCCATAGGAATTTTTGATTAGTGGAGTCATTGCCAAAAACAGTACCACGAGCAATATTTATTGAAAAAAACTACCTTTCTCCAGATACGTGACCACAGATGAGTTGGTCAAAAGCAAATATCCCAAGTCACTGTATTTCTCATATTTGTCATTTGGGTACACCATGGGAGTTTTACAACCTATAAACCAGAACCATCAAGAGGAATACAGCAGACCCTTGAACAACACAGGTTTGAACTGCATAAATCTACTTATGCTCAGATTTTCCCAGAGACAGCAAGACCAACCCCACTTCTCTTTCTCCTCAGCCTACTCAATGACATGAACACAACAAGGAAGACCTTTATAATGATCCACTTAATGAACAGCAAATATACTTTCTCTTCCTTATGATTTTTCTTTAAAAAAAAAAAAAAAGAAAGAAAGAAAGAAGGTCTCACTATGTTGACCAGGCCGAACTCCTGGCCTCAAGCGATCCTCCCATGATTTTCTGAATAACATTTTCTTTTCTCTAGTTTACTTCATTGCAATACACTATATAATACATAGAACATACAAAATGTGTGTTAATTAACTATTATCGGTAAGGCTTCCAATCAACAGTAGGCTATTGGTAATTAAGTTTTGGGGGAGTCAAAAATTATACTCAAGATATTCAACTGCACAGAGGGTTGGCATCCCAATTCCAGAGTTGTTCAAGAGTCAACTGTATAATGCAAGCCATATATTTAAATTTTCTAGGCCCGACGTGGTGGCTCACGCCTGTAATTCCAGCACTTCAGGAGGCCAAAGTGGGAAGATCACTGAGTCCAGGAGTTCAAGACCAGCGCAGGCAACACAGGGAGATGCCCCTATCTCTACAAAAAATTTGAAAAATTAGCCAGACATGGTGGCACATGACTGTAGTCCCAGCTACCAAGAAGGCTGAGACAGGAGGATTGCTTGAGCACGGGAGGTCAAGGTTGAAGTAAGCCAAGATCAGGCCACTGCATTCCAGCCTGGATAACTGGGTAAGATTCCATCTCAAAAAATTAATTAACTTTCTAAGAGATACATTAAAAAGGTAACGTGAAAGAGGTGAAATTAATTTTAATATTGTAGTTTGACCCACTATATCCAAAATATTACCATTTCAGAAGGTAATTGATATAAAATTAATGGGCTACTTTTTGACTTTTAAGATATAATTGATACAACTAAAATTTGCTCGTAAAAATTCAGTAGTTTCTAGTATATTCACGAAATTGTGCAACCATTACCATTAAATTTCAGAACATTTCAGCATCCCAGAAAGAAACCTTGAACAAATTAGCAGTCACTTCCCATTCTCTCCTTCCCCTAGCCCTAAGCAAAAACTAATCTAGTTTCTGTTTCACAGGATTTGCCTATTCTGGATATTTCATTAAAATGAAATAATATAATAAGTGGTATTTTGTGTCTGGCTTCTATTACGTTTTCAAGGCTTATCCCTGGTGTAGCATGAATCAATACTTCATTCTTTTTTTTAAAATTCAAAACTTTTTAGCCTTTAATGTTTTAAATATATACAAAATGCTGTACTGTATGTTTCTCCCTTTAAGACTTCATTCCTTTTTATGGCTGAATAATATTCCATTGTACACATATACAGTCAGCACTCTGCATCTACAGATTTAACCAACCAGATCAAAACTACTTTTTAAAACCCCATAACAAAAAAAAAAATACAAATTAAGAAATATAGTATAACAACTATTTACATAGCATTTACATTGTATTCAGTATTATACGTAATCTAGAGATGATTTAAAGTATATAGGAGGATGTGCATAGGTCATACGCAAATACTACGCCATTTTACATAAGAGACTTTGGTATCTGTGTTTTTGGCATTCACGGGGGTCCTGGGACCAATCCTCTGAGGATACTGAGGAGATGGCTGCAATACATTTTGCTTATCCATTCATCAGTTGATGGATATTTGGTTGTTTCCATTTTTTGGCTATCATAAATAATGTGACTGTGAATATTCATGTACAAGTCTTTATGCAGATATGTCTTCATTTTGGGGGAACTACATATCAAGGAGTGGAATTCCTGGGTCATATGCAACTCTATGCTTAACCATTTTAAGGAACTTCCAAACTGTTTTTCGAAACAGCTGAAGCATTTTACAATCCCATCATCAATGTTTAGGGGTTCCACTTCACATCTCACCCAGCACTTGTTATTGTCTCTTTTCTGTTTTAGCCATTATAGTGGGTGTGAAAGTATATGCCACTTGGGGTTTTGGTGCTTTTTTCTTAACATTTTAAAAAACTGTAGTAAAATATATACAACACAAATTTTTCCATTTTGACCCCCTTTTTTTGCGGGGGGGAAGGAGTCTCACTCTGTTGCCCAGGCTCCAGTACAGTGGCGTGATCTCCACTCACTGCAAGCTCCGCCTCCAGGGTTCATGCCATTCTCCTGCCTCAGCCTCCCAGTAGCTGAGACTACAGGCACATGCCACCATGCCTGGCTAATTTTTTGTATTTTTAGTAGAGACAGGGTTTCACCTTGTTAGCCAGGATGGTCTCGATCTCCTGACCTCATGATCTACCCACCTTGGCCTCCTGAAGTGCTGGGATTACAGGCATGAGCCACCAAGCCCGGACAGCTATTTTGACCATTTTTAAATGTACAATTTAGTGGCATTAATTTACAATATTGTGCAATCATCATCACTGTTTCCAACTCCCAAACAGAAACTATTATGGCCAGGCATGGTGGCTCACGCCTATAATCCCAGCACACTGGGAGGCCAAGGCAGGTGGATCACTTGACACCAGGAGTTTGAGACCAACCTGGTCAACATGGTGAAACTCCATCTCTACTAAAAATACAAAAATTAGCCAGGCATGGTGGTGCACACCTGTTGTCCCAGCTATTCAGGATGCTGAGGCAGAGAACTGGTTGAGCCTGGGAGGTGGGGCCTACAGTGAGCCGAGATTGCGCCACTGTACTCCAGCCTGGGCGACAGAGTGAAACTCTCTTAAAAAAAAAAGAAGAGAAAAAAGAAACTCGGCTGGGCGCAGTGGCTCACACCTATAATTCCAGCACTTTAGGAGGCCGAGGTGGGAGGATCACATGAGGTCAGGAGTTTGAGGCCAGCCTGGCCAACATGGTGAAACCATGTCTCTACCAAAAATACAAAAATTAGCCAGGTGAGGTGGCACATGCCTGTAATCCCAGTTACTTGGGAAGCTGAGACAGGAGAATTGCCTGAACCTGGGAGGTGGAGGTTGCAGTGAGCCGAGATTACGCCACTGCACTCCAGCCTGGGCAACAGAGCAAGACTCTTGTCTCCAAAAAAAAAAATAAATAAATAAAATAAAATAAATAAATAAATAAGTCTATTACCCTTAAGCACTAACTTCCCACACCTCCCATCCTTTGGCACGTGGTAGTTATACTGAATGTGATAAATTCAATTTATCTAACTACCTTCTGTCTATAATAATTTATTCACTCTAGATAAGTGGAATGCTACAGTATCTGTCCTTTTGCATTTGACTTGTTTCACTCCACATAATACATACTGGATTTTAAAGGTTCATCTATGTTGTAGCATGTATCAGAACTTCATTTCCTTTCATGGTTTTATAATATTCCATTGTATGTCTATGCTACATTTTGTTTCTCCATTCCCAGAGTTGTTTTCCTTTTTCTAATCAAGCATGGTTGTAGGGGAGACAATGTTAATCAGCTTAACAATAATGCACAACCCTCACATTAACTGTCTGTGGTTTTGAGATCTGCCTTAATAACTAATGTTGAGCATCTTTTCATGTGCTTACTGGCCATTTCTGAATCTTTTTTTGAGACATGGTCTCTCTCTGTCACATAGGCTGGAGTGTAGTGGTGTGATCTTTGCTTACTTCAACCTTGAGCCCTTGGGCTCAGGTGATTCTCCCACCTCAGTCTCCCAAGTAGCTGGGACTACATGTGCACACCATCACACTGAGCTAATTTTTTGTATTTTTAGTAGAGATGGGGTTTTACCATGTTGGCTAGGCTGGTCTCGAACTCCAGACCTCGGGTGACCCACCCACTTTGGCCTCCCAAAGTGCTGGGATTACAGACGTGAGCCACTGCACCCGGCCTTACTGTCTTCGAAATCCAGTATTTATTTTGTGTTTACAGCACATTTCAATTTTGACTACCCACATTTCAAGTGCTTCACAGCTACATGTGACTCATGGGTTACCATATCACTCTATCTTTAGACCTTTAACTGGTTTCTGAATTTTTCTTAATTTGGATGACATTTTGCCTTGTTTTCGCTGCCTTCCCTTCACCTTCCCCCAATTAATTCTAGGTAACTATTCCTAATCTGTAACAGTTATAACAGCAAAAAGATGGCAAAATATAGCAGGTTACAAAATACTACGTAATGGTGTTTACAAATTTATATATTATATTTTTCCAAATATATAATCATAATGCTACTGCAAGTGATCACAATCAGCATGTGACTGTGAGGGCTTGCAGACAGTAAGTTATAATGTTTGTTGCCTAGAAGTACTATTTGTATAATTTACTCTATATGCTGAATGTCTCTCTTTAATTCTCAAGGATACTGAATAAACGATTATCGGTGCTAAGTATTCTGCTTCTGCCACTTCAGAATCTACCTAGTGATTTTAATCCATGAGAGCAATTTTCTTAGCTTAGTTTGTCAGTTCCTATAGTTTCCTGACTAAGCAGTTATTTGAAAAGAGTTCAGAAAGTGTCCTTTCAAATTGTTATTTTGTTTGTATTTTTACAGTAATTCCATTCAATATAACTACCACTTGGAAATCCTACTATCACCCTCCCTTGACACATGGCCAGTTCAATAGATCTGGACTTCAGCAAGCAATGCTGCAATTCTAAGACTCATTTACAGGTCTTAATGCTAATGACTATCCTTTCATTTAATATTAATCAAGAAAGAAGTGGATATGAGAATGACAGTATATTTAAGAGTCATAACACATCACAAACTGGGTATCACTTCCACTCTAAAGAAAGAATAATACATCATTACTATGTGCCAGAACAAAACTAGCCTTGATTCAGCCTTCTTGATTCAGTTTCCTAATTGCAATAATCACATCATTCACTACATTAAGTAGCCAACTTCAGAGAATTATCAATGAAACCACTATGTGAATTTTCCCAGATGCAGACAGATACAATCTTAATACTGCTTCAATTAATTAACACAAAAATGTAACATCCTGAATAAAATCAGTCTTCCAAATAAGTACTCCTCTCTTAGGTACCAAATACTCCTTATTTTGGAGCATTTATCCTTTTTGAAACAAAAAACACCAGATACTGATTTTTGCAACTAGGGCCTCACTTGTCTTCAAGCCTTAGAAGTCTATCAATATAATGACCACTTCGAGGTCTGTGATTCTACAGAATTGGCCTAACCCAATATCCCCAATGAGTAAGTGTCAAGTAAAACGTAATTGTAACAGATTAAATGGGAATCCAGATTAAGGGAAAAGCAATGCATAGTTTAAATAACCCAGTTGTAAAGACTATTTTTGAGACAACTAAGGAAAAGTACACTGGGTATCAGATGATATGAAGAAGTTTTTAAAATAAGAAAAAGTAAAAAATTAATAAATAAGAAAAGTATAGTAAGCCAGGTACAGTGGTTCACATCTATAATCCCAGCACTTTGGGAGACTGAGGTGGGCAGATTACTTGAGGTCAGGAGTTTGAGACCAGGCTTGCCAATACAGCAAAACCCCATCTCTACTAAAAATATAAAAATTAGCCTGGCATGGTGGCGCATGCCTGTAATTTCAGCCACTAAGGAGGCTGATGCACAAGAATCTCTTGAATCTGGGAGACAGAGGTTGCAGTGAACTGAGATCACACCACTGTACTCCAGCCTGGACAACAGAGTAAGAATCCATCTCGAAAAAACAAAACAAAAAAAACCCCAAAAAACTGCTATGGCCTATAGTCTTACCTTGATAAAAACTAAGTAAGGAGAAAAACAACATGAATATTTAAAAGCTCAAAAGTAACATCTCTATTTAAACTAGGCATCAAAGAGTAATCAATAGTTCTTCCTATCAAAAGAAATAATCTGAACAAAAACCTAAATAGGTGTATCTCAATCATTACACAGTAGATACCAGCACAATGTGATAGATGTTAATCTGTAATAGCCAGTGGACCATGAAGTGAGTTCTAGCCCATGTAACTGCCCAATCATGAAAAATGATGCTTATCATAAGAAATCCTAAAATAGCGCTGCAGTAATAACCTCACAACAAGCAACTCAAAATGAAATAGCAAAATAAACAGTGAACTAAAAACCCTAAAAACTTGTCTACCATTGTCTTGAGAGAGGTTTAGGCTATAATTATTTTATTAGTTACTCTATTTCATAAATCCTCACCTCTTTTGGAGTTTTATGAGCTGCACAAAGAAAAATCCATTGTTCAGTTGCTGTCATTTGTGTGCAAGTATCTGGATGGCATTCAGTCTGTTAAAAATAATTAATTTCTTAATATGTAAAATAATAATGAAAAAGCTTATCATTTAGGTTACTATATTTCCATAACAAATTCTAGAAGTTAGAAATTTGGAGAAGTTTTTGTAAGCACATTAAGCTATAAAAACAGAGAAAAAAAATCAGAACTTTACAACTTTGACTTAAAGAAAATATTACCTGAAGTTTGACAGCAAGTCCATTTAGCTCAAGGCAGAACTGCCTGAAAATGCAAACACATAAATAAAAAGTCATTATCTATTCTCCACAGCAATTTTTAGAATATTAGCTGCAAAACGAGAATCCCATCAGTATCATTCCTCCTCCCTCACTACCATTATCAAAACCAGCTGAACAGATGACGACACATTTCTTCTAAAGGCTTACAGATTAAAAATAGAAAACCAATAACTCTCATAACATTCAATACCAGAGTTCAGTGAGCTGATCATTCTCTCATATACTAGAAATTAGTACAATTTTTCAGGGAAGTAATTTGGAAATATTTACCAAGACTTTTAGGAAGTGTATACTTTTTGACTAAGTCATTCTTCTAAGAATCTATTGTAATGAAATAATCAGATCTGCATGCAGATAAATGTGTAAACATGTTCACAGGAGTTATATATGCATATGAGAAAATTTCTGAATTGTAGAAAAATTCAGCAACTGGAGGGTAATAAAATGTTGGTATACAGAAACACACAAAGAAATTACAGCAGGGCACAGTGGCTCAGGCCTGTAATCCGAACACTTTGGGAGGCCGAGGCAGGCGAATCACCTGAGGTCAGGAGTTCAAGACCATCCTGGCCAAAATGGTGAAACTCCATCTCCACAAAAATACAAAAATTAGCCAGGCATGATGGCGATGCCTGTAATCTCAGCTATTTGGGAGGCTGCCAAGGGAGAATTGCTTGAACCTGGGAGGCAGAGGTTGCAGTGAGCCGAGATTACACTACCGCACTCCAGTCTGGGCAACAGAGTAAGGCTCCATCTCAAAAAAAACAAAAACAAAAACAAAATTACATTACAATTACATTAAGGCCATCAGTTTTAGACAGTTATGTGATAAAAAGACAATCTTCTATGTCACAAAGACAGTTTTATAGCTGTCAAAATACTGAACGTGTTCCCTCCAAAAGTCCTACCTATTAATACTTAGTTCAATGTATCAAGTTAGATAAATCAATACTATGTTTCCTCATCAGAAAAAATTGAATCATTTTGGTTCCCAAAACAATGCAAAGCTAAAACCTATATAATCAGAAGACCAAAAAAAAAAAAAAAAAATCCCTCCAAAAAAGAAAAAAACCAGGATATATATGAACAAATTTGGTAGGAAAAACTTTAGTTACTGCACATTGTAACAGAAGAAAACAAAAAGGCAAGAGTCAAATTTTCAGTTGTTTGTAACTGCATTTCCTTTCCAGATGCCTAATAATGCTGTCCTTAGATTACAAAAATAACATTATTTCTAAATCACCATATCACCGTCTACTGCCCCCTATCAAGTAGGCTGCATGTTATGTGTTTTTTAGTTGTTTTCCACTAAGTGGTAATAAAGACTGGTTGTGATAAGTTTCTTACCTAACCTAACCCTTTTACAGCCAATAGCAAAATTAAGTTGATTCAGCAGTGCTGTGGGTATCATCTGTGGCAAATAATGCAAAACTTACAGCTTCAAGTTAATTTAATACAGGGCTAACATGTATACAGTTGTGCAGCTGAAGAGACCAACCAGAGCTGGAATCCAGCCTACATTCCAGGAACCACACATGTATCCTGGCATAAAGGAGTAACTTTTCCTAATCATTAAGACTCAATATGAGTTAGTGGGAGATTTGACTGAAGTCATGACCCAATTCAAATTAACATCATTATATAATCAACTACATTAACTAAAAATGGCAAGTGTACAGCCTCAAATCAATAAAGGATACATGCAAAAACAAACAAACAAAACTCTTCCTGGTCAACTAATAAAAATATACACAATACAATAAAGAGATAAAAGAATATATACATGATAGTCCAAAAAGTGGTCAGCAGAAAAAAATAACAAAAGTAAAAATAGCATCAGAACAAATGAAATACTTGTGAGCAATGTTTTATGTGAAGTTTTATGTAATGTTTTATATAATGTATGTTTCATAGAATAAGTTCAATAGGGAGGTAAATGTTTTCTTAGACCTGAAAAAAAAAAACTCTTGTACACTAAAATCAGCCCTTATTTGTTAGGAATTATGCTTGTAATGGAAAAAAAGGCCAACCACGGTGGCACACGCCTGTAATCCCAGCACTTTGGGAGGACAAGGCAGGCAGATCACGAGGTCAGGAGAGCAAGACCATCCTCATCAACATGGTGAAACCCTGTTTCTACTAAAAATACAAGAATTAGCTGGGCATGGTGGCGTGAGCCTGTAGTCCCAGCTACTTGCGAGGCTGAGGCAGGAGAATTGCTTGAACCTGCGTGGCGGAGGTTGCAATGAGCCGAGATCACACCACTGCACTCCAGCCTGGTGACAGAGCGAGACTTGAGACTCCTGTCTCAAGAAAAAAAAAAAAAAAAAAGAAAGAAAAAGAAAAAAACATGCTCACCTACTTTCATCATTAATGCCAAAGCATAAGAAAGCAGTTATTTTCAAGGCTGATTAAAAATAAAGCAAAGGATGTACTACATTGAAGTGCTGTCTTGGGTTGTAAAAATGGGAAAATACCTACAAACTCATCTTTCAATTATTGTGCATTCAGATATGTAAAAAAGTTAGAAATAGTCAAGTAATTTGTCTAAAAATCAGCAAAGGGTACAAAGAAGTCTTAGCATCCTGAAATCGCTGAACTGTTATGACACGACATAATGTCTTGGCCATATCTAAAGAAGCATGCAGCATCAAAAAGTTAAGTATTTTTTAAAAGTGCCTTGTCTTCAAGTTGAGGCACACAACACAGGAAACATGGTCAAATTTATTCAGGAAAAGTCATATTTCTACTCTACTTACCTAAAAATCAACTTACAAATAATAAGCCCCAATGAACACATACTGCACTCTCTATATTTATTAATAATCTGTCAACTCATCCCAGCTCCCATTTGTACTGGAAAATTTATAATTTCAAGAAACACCTAGTAACTTCAGAATATATCTACTTCTAAAGTTATCTCCACCTATCCTCTAGTTATCAATTTTTTCATTCAAAGGGTATTACAGAAAGTACCAAAACTCCTTACTTCAGGATTACAATTAATCTCTATTTACCAAAGACAAGACTGGAAGTTTGCAATAATTTACAGGTAACTTATCAGATACCAAGCCTAGACTAGGAACTAGAAGTAATCCTCCACAAAAACATAAAGTGGCCAAGTGCAGTGGCTCATGCCTGTATAATCCCAGTGCTCTGGCAGGCCGAGTTGGGAGGATCACTTGAGCCCAGGATTTCAGGACCAGCTTGGACAACACAGTGAGACTCCATCTCTACAGAGACAAAGGGGGGAAAAAAAAAGACAAGTCGGGCACGGTGGCTCACGCATGTAATACCAGCACTTTGGGAGGCCGAGGCAGGCGGATCATGAAGTTAGGAGTTCGAGACCAGCCTGGCCAACATAGTGAAACCCCATCTCTACTAAAAATACAAAAATTAGTGGCCGGGCGCGGTGGCTCAAGCCTGTAATCCCAGCACTTTGGGAGGCCGAGACGGGCGGATCACGAGGTCAGGAGATCGAGACCATTCTGGCGAACACGGTGAAACCCCGTCTCTACTAAAAAATACAAAAAAAACTAGCCGGGCGAGGTGGCGGGCGCCTGTAGTCCCAGCTACTCGGGAGGCTGAGGCAGGAGAATGGCGTGAACCCGGGAGGCGGAGCTTGCAGTGAGCTGGGATCCGGCCACTGCACTCCAGCCTGGGTGACAGAGCAAGACTCCGTCTCAAAAAAAAAAAAAAAAAAAAATACAAAAATTAGCCGGGCACAGTGGCACGTGCCTGTAGTCCCAGCTACTCAGGAGGCTGAGGCAGGAGAATCACTTGAACCCGGGAGGCAGAGGTTGTGGTGAGCAGGGATTGTACCACTGCACTCCAGCTTGGGTGACGGAGTGAGACTCTGTCACAAAAAAAAAAAGACAATAGATGACACAAAGTTATGCATAAATGGGGAAATGGCAATACCGTATTAGTGGTTAAGAGATACAATTAAGGAAAACCATGAAATAAGATAATAAAACCCAGGCTGGCATGGTAGTAATCCCAGCACTGTGGGAGGCCAAGGTGGGCAGATTGCTTAAGCCCCAGAGTTTGAGACCAGCCTAGGCAACATGGTGAAACCCTGTCTCTACAAAAAATACAAAAAACTAGACAGGCTTAGTGGCATTCACTAGTAGTAGTCCCAGCTACTCAGGAGGCTGAGATAGGAGGATTGCTTCAGTATGGGAGACAGAGGCTGCAACGCGCCAAGATTGCACCACTGCACTCCAGCCTAGGCAACAGATCAAGACCCTGTTTTTAAAAAAAAAAAAAAGGTGGGGATAATAAGGCCCAAATCAATAAATGTAGAAAGGGTGGCTCAATACTTTGGGAGGATAAGGTAGGAAGATTGCTTGAATCCAGGAGATTGAGACTAGCCTGGGCAACATAATGAGATCCTGTCTCTACAAAAAACTAAAAACATTAGTGAGGCATGCTGGCACACGCCTGTAGTCCCAGCTACTCTGGAAGCTGACGTAGGAGGATCACTTGAGCCTGGGAGGTAGAGGCACAGTAAGCAGTGATTGCACCACTGCACTCTAACATGGGCAATAGAGTGAGACTCCATCTCAAAAAAAAAAAAGTAGAGAGGTGCAGAGGCAGGTCCAAGTTATCAGCTCTGAAACCACCTTTCAAAACGAGTGACTCTGTAGCATACTTTGATCTGGAAATAACCAGTGAAGAAAGCTGAGAACCTTGTGACACTGAAAATGCCAAAGCTTTAAAATTTGGCTTCTTAGTCTGCAGTTACATAGTAAATTTTACGATTCATAATTACCATTAATATGAAAGTTAGTTTCGTGAGAGGAACTATTAGTATTTTGATGTAACATAAGGACCTACCTTAAATGTTCATACTTCCACACACCTTCATCTTGGCCTTCAGGTGGTTCAAGAATTTTGTCAATATTGGAGCAATCTGCTCTTATGTTCTGTTGAATATACTAAAAACAAAGAAGTTCTTATGGTTAATTAAATTATACCACCTGGTAAATCTTATATTAAGTACATATAATTTTTGAATACATAACTGCTCTTGTGGTTCAACTTGGGTTATACACTAAATAGGAAACCAAGTATAGAATCATAATCAGTAACTCAGAAAAAAGTAGGTTACCCTTATTTACTTATTTATCCTTCAATTCAACTTCATTTGTACAGAATCTACTACATAAATGCAGATATTGTATTTGTCAGGACTGTAACTGGGATCAAAATTGCAAACTGTAATTTTTTTTTTTTCTTTTTTTTTGAGACAGGGTCTCACTGCACCACCCAGGCTGGAGTACAGTGGTGCAATCTCAGATCACTGCAATATCCACCTCCTGGGCTCAAGCAATCCTCCCAACTCAGCCTCCTGAGGAACTGGAACTACAGGCACACACCATCACGCTGAGCTCACTTTTCTGTATTTTGTAGATACAGGATTTCGCCATAGGCAATGTAAATATAACTATGGTACATATTGTGATTCCGTTTATACGAAGTGTCTAGACTAAGAAAATCTATTGAGACAGAAAATAGATTTGTACCGGCGTAGGGCTTGAGGGCAGAGAGGAAGGCAGAGGAGACCAAAGATGGCTGCTAATGGGGATGAGTTTTCCTTTAAGAAAGGATAAAAATGTTCTAAAAGGCCAGACATGGGGGCTCATGCTTGTAAGGCCAGCACTTTGGGAGGCCAAGGCGGGCAGATCACGAGGTCAGGAAATCAAGACCATCCTGGCTAACATGGTGAAACCCTACCTCTACTAAAAATACAAAAAAAATTTAGCAGGGCGTGGTGGTACACACCTGTAGTCTCAGCTGCTCCAGAGGCTGAGGCAAGAGAATCGCTTCAACCCGGGAGGCAGAGGTTGCAGTGAACCGAGATCGCGCTACTGCACTCCAGCCTGGGCAACAAAGCGAGACTCCGTCTCAAAAACAAAACAACAAAAAAAAGTTATAAAATTAGACTGTAGTGATGGCTGTGCAACCCTGTGAATACAATCACTCTAACTGTACAGGGATTTGTATGGTACGTTCATTAGACCCAATAAAAGTTGTTTTAAATAACTAAGTTTAAAAAAAAGGCAAGGGAGGGTCACTTTCAATTTTTAAAATGTAATAACATAAAAATTTAAATTTCAGATCTCTGTAATGCTTTATGCAATCTTTTTGATATTCTGAAATCCGAATAGGTTAGAGTAAAAGGGTGGTTACAAAAACTAACTATAAGGCCTTCTTGAGCCAATCAATTTTGCCTACTTCAGACAATCTTTCTTAAATATCACTTGGGTACTCAAAAACTGTTTTTCCCAAACAAAAGGTCTCACATATTTAGTACTGAACCAGTCTATTGCAGAGCATAGAAACCAAAAGAAAAACCATTGTTCCAATACAGCATGTCCAACTGTCCAGATGATGGTGACATTTTCAGCTTGATATGGTGACATGATAGTGATCTTGATACAATATTAAATATGTATGCCATCTCATGTAAAAATTCCTTCTAGACCCAGTTTGGTTTTTTTCCCAATGTTTCCTCTTAGAATTGTACCTGATTTTATTATTCAGTTTTCATCTGAATCCACTGGGGAATGCAACGATTTTGCTTTTGTTTCTTGGTTGGGAATCACTTGATTCTAAAAGTCTTGTGGGAAGGCATGGCAAAGAACAGAGTCATGCACACACACCACGATGACAGGGAAAGGGATCAAACACTTTTTTTTTTAGATGGAGTGTTGCTCTTGTTGCCCAGGCTGGAGTACAATGGCTCGGCCTTGGCTCACCACAACCTCCGCCTCGCGGGTTCAAGCAATTCTCCTGCCTCAGCCTCCTGAGTAGCTGGGAATACAAGCACCCGCCACCACGCCTGGCTACTTTTTGTATTTTTTGTGGAGACGGGGTTCACCATGTTGGTAAGGCTGGTCTCGAACTCCTGACCTCAGCGGATCCACCCACCTCGGCCTCTTGAAGTGCTGGGATTACAGGCGTGAGCCACCGTCCCCAGCCTCAAACACGTTTTAATCACTCTTTAATTATTACTGAAACCACTCTCCCTGATATTTTTTATCTCATCCTAATGTTTCAAAGTTTTGATTCTCTCTCTCCTTGAGGAGATACAGGTAAATTGTATACCTTCTCCACAGGCCACCTCAAATTCCATGTCACAATTCTGTCCAAATCTCTCATTCCCCTAGTACACTCAAGCACTCCCTGATTATTCGAATCCTCACAGAACTCCATCCGATTTCCTGCCATATTTGTAATTTGTATACATTAGCAATCTGTCTATTCATTTTTGTCTTTCCTGTTCCCACTACACCTTCTATGGATAGAACTTTTTTATGTTTTTGAGATAAGAGTCTCACTCTGTCACCCAGGCTGGAGTGTAGTGGTGCAATCTCAGCTCACTACAACCTCTGCCTTCCGGGTTCAAGTGATCCTATCGTCTCAGCCTTCGGAGTAGCCGGGATTATAGGCATGCGCCACCATGCCCAGCTAATTTTTGTATTTTTAGTAGAGACGGGGTTTCACCATGTTGGTCAGGCTGGTCTTGAAGTCCTGACCTCAAGTGATCCACCTGCCTCAGCCTCCCAAAGTGCTGGGATTACAGGCGTAAACCACCGCACCTAACCTTCTATGGCTAGAACTCTTAGCAGCATTTATTTCACACTTAATAGCACAACTTACTAGCGCTTACTTTCATGTGTCTCCTTCATATAGCGAGTCCCTGAACACAGAGACTTTTATTTATTTATTTATTTATTTTTGAGATAGTTTCGTTCTGTCACCCAGGCTAGAGTGCAGTGGCGCTATCTTGACTCACTGCAACCTCTGCCTCCTGGGTTCAAGCAATTCTTCTGCCTCAGCCTCCCAAGTAGCTGGGATTACAGGTGTGTGCCACAACACCTGGCTAATTCAAGACTGCTTAGGCTAATTCAAGACCACCTAAGCTAGTTTTGAACTCCTGGGCTCAAGCAATTATTCCACCTCAGCCTCCCAAAGTAATGGGATTACAGGCATGAACCACTGGGCCCAGCCCAATTTTAATTATTTAACCATATATTTAGAAACTGACTTTACATATATAATTACTAAATTT